AATAGGATATTTTGGTTAATTTTGATGTGGTATCAACGTAACTAACATCCCAGTTCATAAAGTTATTGAAGCACTTACACTTAGCATAAATGAGCACCCATAAATTATTGGGGAGGCAAATCTGAGCAAAAGGTCAATCTTAAAACTGCTTAATCTATCCATGTGCAGCACATACTTCATCTTTAATGATAAAGTTTATGAACAGGTGCAAGGCCTAGCGATGGGATCTTGCTTGGCTCCCGTTTTAGCCAATAATTACATGTCAAGCTTGGAGGAACACTTCATGGAAGAGGTAGGATTGACAGCTAAACTCTTAGTTACATGGATGACTACTTTGCCATATGGCAGCATGGCAAGGATAATTTAGATAATTTATGTTATTAATTGACCAGATTGACTGCGATATTAGGTTGACAATGAAGATGGAGATCAACAATAATTTACCCTTTTTAGATGTCTTAGTGATCAGAGCATGTAAGAAGTCAAGCAGGGATGTCTATGGAAAGACAACACATGCTGGCTTTATACTTAACTTCCTCTCAAATCATAGTTATAAAACAAAGGTTAGAGTTTTAAAATCTATGATTATTCGGAGAATAAGACTAGCCGATATAGACCATTGTGACAATGAACTGAATCGGCTTAAAATAATATTGAGAATAATTATCCACTAGGCTTAATTGAAAATAACATTAGAATAATAAAGAATAGCTTATTGAATGGTGAATACGTAAGGAGAGATAAGGAGACCTTTTCTCACGTTTTATCTTTAGCTTCGTGCATTCTCTCTAAAAGGAAAGGTGAACAAGTAAGGAAGTGTGGAATAAAAACGGTCTTCAGGGAAACTACGACACTTTCTTCAGTTATGCCCACTTTAGAGAGAAAGTCGACCCATTTTCCAGATCGGGTTGCTACAATATAATTTTTCATGTGGTCGCTTTTATTTTGGAGAGAATTGTCGTCCCATTGGCAAAGGGTGGCTGAGTACAAAAGCGTCTGCAAAGGCTGTTGGGTTCAAGAATCGGAGCTGTCTGAGCACAGGCCAGAAACTGGACACGAGATTGAATTGTCTCAAACTTCTCGTTTTGCTGATTATAACATGTCTGAGGCTAAACGTAAAATTAGAGAAACCATCTAAATAAACCGAATAGGAAATTCATTGAATGTAAGAAATACCGGCAAGAAGATAAGTAAAAATTGCTTGTGCTTAATTAATAGACTGAAGGATAGAGAGGGAGTTGAGCCGCCTGCAAAAAGGATGCGACGCAACTGGTCTTTCCTTGTTTTGGTTCTCTGTACTTTTAGCTCACTCTTTCTCTCTCGTATGGGACCAAAAACAAAAAAGGCTCATCAACAAAATCAGACGAGTGTCCGACCTTGCGCAATCGGAGTAATGGTTATAACAAGTATGTAGAAAGGAGTAGATAGTGTTCATTAAGCCTTGATGGCAGAGAGCAAACGCTACTTTTGCTGTAGTAATTACTTTGGGCCATCACTGCGGGTTTCGTGCATAAATGGACACAAACAGGGATATACACATACAGAGACAGACACACTCACAGGTTTCGAGGTTGACAAATGACCGTAAATAACCAAATCACTTAATACCTGATCAAAGAGGCCAGATATAGAGTATATATACTGCTTTTTAGGGATTTGCCGTTGAGTTTTCTTGACTCGTTAGCTTGAATTTGGTTGTGACGATGATACCTTGCTCCGATTATGTTCGTCATTTGACAGACGAAAGCTTAGCACCTTTTCACCGGAATCGAAGGAGATTACATCGGAAACAGCGTCAGCATGAATTTTCCAGTTAAGCAATCGACAGCTGGTCAAGAGGAATCCGCCCTCGTCTTCTGGTGGAATCGACTTTGGTGGAATCTCTTCATCAAACACTTTCACTCTAAATGGTAATCAGTGATTACTTTAAACCAACCTTTTATTTACAAGTATCAAGGAAGCCCAGGTCTCTCCAATCATCATGTGCTTTCCAGTTAAATCTGGGTATTTTTGACGAATTGCTAATAGTTGGTTGTTCATATGTATCGGGGATTTTTCGGACGGCACGGCTATATGTCATTTATTGGCTTCCTAAGGTGTACTCATTTAATTGTAGAGAAGCCTTCGCTGGCAGTCTTTACATCATCCCTAGTAATTTAGGCTTAATAAGCTATAATTTCAGAATTACTGTTAATTTCGGACCTTATTTGTTTGAAAATGACCTTTCCTTGTCTGAATATTCAATAAATGGGAGTTTTGCCTATATTTTGTCTTTTGATTTTTGTCACACTTGCTCAGCTCTCAAATTGACGCGCTTGGTGAGTTAACTCGGCAATTGAAGAATCGCTTCTCCACTGAGTCTAAGACTCCACATCAAATCCTCGCCTCTAGTTTGGCCTTTTCTCAAATGGATCCATACAAGTCCCCGGCTGTTTCGTCACAAAGAGTCTCCGACTTTCGCCGACTCGAACTTACGTCTCCTGCACCTGCCAGGTTTGGACAGGACCTTGAGTCACAAAGAATCGGGCTTAATTCTTATGAAGTGGGCGGAGCTGCCACTCAGGCTGCGGCATCTATGGACGGATATAATCAGGCCCTTCTTAATCTTAAAGTCTCAGGTACGCCATGTTGTACCAACTTTGCTTTATCATAACTTTATCTATTGACCCTTCATTGTGTATAGCTTTATTATTAATAAGCTTGGAGGCTATTCAAATCGTCAGCCCTAAAAGTCAGTTTACTGTGGCCATCAACAAACAGCAGAAAAGTAACCTCATAATAATGAAATATCATTATTTATAATGATGATGTTGATAATTAAGACAATATTGCAACAATACATGAATGTAACGCAACAGCATTCGCTTAATTTTAGCACACTAATAATCTAATGTTCTTAGTAAGATTTTAAATGGTTTATCTATTTATTCAACTACTTTTTGATACAACTTCCTCGCATCTACCACCTAATCGTATGAATAAATATATCTGAAGATTTAGAAGAAACGTTTCCAAATATTCGACTGGAATCGTTTAATTTCTAAATGACCAAACTACGTTTATAATAATAAAAAAATAAGCTAATCCATTTTGGGCTAAAATATAAATTTTATTTTACTTCAGAAGTGGGTTGTCGCAACTTCGTCTTGTTGTCAGGGCGACTTGGTAGAACGCACCTGGTCTGAATTCGTCTGTCATAGTAGTCTTCATGAGTCCCAGCATCAGACAGTAGACTTAGTACATTCTCAAACGTTTCGCCGGTATCGTAGTCGGCATCATCAGTGAATGCTGCCACTCTCCGCACCAAGCTACGAACTCGTCAAATAGACAAGTGAAGTCAATCCCTCGACAAACGTTCTGCCGAA